CGCGGGTTCGATCAGCGCCAGCACTCTCAGGGATTACCCTTCTGCCGGGACGATCAGGACTTTTAAATCACCTGCCCTTGGACTCACGCCTACGGCTCCCTTCCGAGGCGCACTTTATACTTATCGACTCCCGGCCTGAGGTGAGCTACTCGGCTTCGTGGTCGGTCTCCAGACCCGGCCAACTAAGAGAGAGGCATGCGTTCAACATGAACAGGAAAGGCTCCAAGATTCAGTCCTTAATCGACACAGACGGAGTCACTGCAAACCGGCAAGCCTCCGTCCGGTCTTCATTTCAAATTAAGACTGGTTCTTTTCCACGATAGCAAATATAGCCAACCGTGCCATATGTATCTTCCTATATCTCGCAGGTGACAGGAAATCACCCGACTTCTACCGTGTTTAAGCAGGGCTAAGCACTACACGAGCCTAAGCTACATAGGATTCAGGGTAACAATATCTGGACAAGGATTGGGTAACCAATGCAGCAATTGTTTGCATCCAACACCTAAACTTAATGCAACAATATATATATATAGATATATAATAATAATACTGTAACTGCATTTCAGAAATTAGGAGCCTTAATATGCTCCGGGGCTTGCCTTTCACAAAGTTGTACGGACGGTGATCCGGGCACTCAACGGCGACCTCGTCTGACCCTTCTTCTGAAGGCTGCACCTCCTGAACCTCTGGTGTCGGCTGCTGCTGCTCGCTCGGTTCCTCGAATTCCAGCAGGGTCACTCCTTCCGGTACACCTATTGCATGCCGATGCACGAGATAAATATCATGGATGCATAAGGAATGACATGATGCTCAATGATGAATGAATCACAGTAAGTGTTTTACCGAAAACATCACTGGACACTCGTTTACCGAGTAAGACTAGTCCTATTCAAACCACTTTAAAACAGGTATCTAATTTAACTTGAAGAACAAGATCAACTTATCTAACTTGCATAACCTAAGATAAAGATGCTCATCTTTAGTTAAAGGCCTAACACCTAGGAACATTACCACAAACTTAGAAATGGTAAAGGCATACATAAATCAACATTTAAAGTTTCATATGCACACAATTAGTCCCTTAATTCAATCACAACCAGAGTTCTACAAATCCAAATGACTTGCAAGAGGACATTATAGAAAGCTTATGAAATTCTCTATAATTCATTTGTAAACATCAAAGCATGATTCTTAAGTTAACCAAATCAAATTCCAGTAAACCTAGAATCTGTCCCGCAATGACAGGGTTACTAACTTAATTATTTGATGATGATGCAAAAGCCTAATTTAACCAAACCAAGTTTACCAACTTGTTACACATACCAGAGGAACACTAGAAAGTATAGTGCCAACTTCCAAATAACTCATTTAATATCCTTTTCTAATTTATTTAGTTAATTAGGTGATTAAAGCAACATATAGTAAAAATGTTCATAAAAATCTACAAAAATTACAGCAGCTATCTCATGCTTCACATAGACTACCATAAAAATTTCAAAGCCATTGAGCAAGCAAAACTTGCTATATCCAAAATAACAAGTGGCATGTCTATTTTTAGCATAATTAGGAAACCCTAATGAAAAGTGTCAAGCAACAGATTTCACATTTTTCCTAGCATCATTTTAGCATAAGAACCTTACTTACCAAATTTTACCTATACTGGATCTATAGAAAAATTATGAAAATTCACACAAGATCCATCTATTGATAAAAAGAAATTCTATAACTCAAAAACTATACATGCACTAGCTCTAAAATTTTAACCAGAGCTTCTACTCAGCAATAATAGATTACCCACAAAATTTCATAATTTTTGGACCAAAGAAACTCAAGATAAAATTCAAACAAGTTTGCATGTATCTAAAAACACATTTCAAAGTCCTATTTAATTCATCCAGAATTTCTAAAACATGTGCTCATATAATATTTTTATTAAATACTAGACATTAGTAGGAACTCAACAAAATTGGAACCATAGCATTTGGAGCTATATACTAGGAAATACCTATTTTTGAATCATGCACACAAATCTGTAAAAACAAAATAAACAAAACAAAACAAGAAATCATTTCACTGCTGTTGGGCCGGCCCGAGGACACGGCGGCCCGCGAAGCGCACTGGCGCAGCCCAAGACGCGGCTCAGCCCAAGCTGGCTCTCGCCTCTACGCTTCAGCGGCTGACGATGGGGACCCGCGTGTCAGCGAAATGAAACAGGGGAACGGAGGAAGACGACGGCGTGACTCGCCGTCGGTGGCTTCTCCGGTGAGACCAACGGCGCTACTGTGTTCGTCTCGCTCGTGCGCATCTAGTGGTACCCTAAATGGAAGCTATTAGCATGGCTACCGGGGCTGGCGACGAGCACGGCGGCGCACGGCCGCGGCATGGCCGGCTCCGGCGAGACCCGACCCCGTAGGGTGCGGCTAAGCTGGGGACGAGCTTCCGGAGTTCACTACCAAGCTAACCGAGCACAGAGGAGGGGATGGGAAGGCTGCGGTGGTAGTTGGCCACGTGGAGCGCCAACTCCGGCGAGGTCCAGCCATGGCGGCGGCGGAGGAAATGGCGAATACACCCTTACCAAGCCCCAAATGACCCGGCTGAGAGGTGGAGGAGGTGGAGAAGAACACGGCGAAGCTACGAACAAGCTGGCCGACGTGTTTTTGCGGTGGTGAGCGCGCACGATGACGGCGACGCGCGGTCGGTAATGGCGGACGACTGCTGTGGCTTGGCGCAGCGCGCGGGGAAGGAGAAAGGAAAAGCAAATGGCGCGGCGAGTGCGTCGGGCAGGCGCGTGGGGTGCTCTTGTCACGGCCAGCAGCGCCAGGAGGCACGCGGCATGTGGCAGCATGCTCAGGCGACCGGCGACGCGCGGCACACACGCGTCGGGCATTTTTTGAAATTGGTCGGCCACTGTAGCATCCATTCAGACGAAGAAAACCGACTGACAGCGTTATTTCAACGTGTCAACACGGCTAATCTACTGCACCTTTGCAAAAATCGTGTATATGAAAAATGTAGGTCTACCATCCATCTACAATTTCTCTTCAAGGACCATTCCCTAATTCGCCATGGATCAGCAGTTAAATGAAGCCCAAGTTGGCCTGATCCAACTGAAATTGCAGTTTAAGACTTAGACAAAATTTTCAGTGAAATCAGCATGAACTTCTGACTTGTGGGCCATGTTTGAGCATGTTCCACACATTTTCATGAGTTGGTCATGAAACAACTTTTGTTCCTTAATAAATTAGCTACAACTTTTGTAAAGAGTGTACAGCCATGCAAGATTTCTAAGTTGGTCTTTTAAAACAGTCAAACAGTGAGACTCCTAGGGTCAATTCAAGTCAAACCTCCACTTGAGGGCATTTTGGTCATTTTGATCTACATGAACAATGTCCCAACAAGTAACCTAAGTATAGTTAAGGTGTAATAGACCATGATCAACCACTTTACCAAATTGTTATACCAACCTTTAATGATCACATGTGATAAAGCAACTAAAACAAGCAATTCACTCATATGTTGCAATGCAATGTTTCACATGTTGCATGACTTTGTGGTTATTCTATACTTGTCACATTACTACCATGTTGCCATGTTTCAAGATATAAGAAATCTCAGGTTGCATTCACATGTTACACCATTACTATTCACAACCCTCAAGTAGGAAACATACACAAATGGGAAAATGTTGCATATGCAAGTTTCAGTAACAAAGGCATGATGAGATAGATGATGCACATGTTTATGAAATGAAATGCAATTAGTGGAAGCCAAAAACCTAGGGTGTTACAGCGGGGTGATCGGACGCTCCGGTCATGTTGACCGGACGCTCCGGTCAGTACACCCCGAACTCCAGTGTTTACAGTGTGACCGGACGCTGGGCAGCATCCGATCAGCACTGATCGGACGCGTCCGGTCATAATTTTCCCTCTCTAGAACCTTACTGGAGTCGATCGGACACTGCCTCTCAGCGTCTGGTCACACCGAACATTTTCACCTTGGTTAAATGAACTGACCGGACCCTGAGCCAGCGTCCGGTCAGTATTTGACCCTCCATTCACTTCCAACTCTTGATCATATGTGAATGAAGTTTGCTCTATTGGATCTAAGGGCAATTTTGGAGCTACCTAGTGTTAGTTTAAACAAGTGTGCACCACACCTAACTCACTAGACTCACCTAGGTCAAGCTACCTGTCCATACCCCCCTTAACAGTATGGCCAAAGGAAAAACAAAGTCCTAAACTACTCTAAGTGTCTCTCCAACTCCAATCGACACTTAGAACTAGTCCATCCTTAACTTTGTCGTCCATCCTTTGAAAACCGAAACGATTTCCATCGTAGGGGCATGACCACCTTGATTGCCCAATCGATCTCCATTACCATGACCTAACTTAATTGCCTCTACAAAACACATGTTAGTCATAGTGATCTTGTATTGTCATTAATCACTAAAACCCAACTAGAGGCCTAGATGCTTTTAGGGTCAACACGCGTCTGTAATAACGGTTTCTACCGACGCGGGTCTGAAATAATTTCACAAACGCGTGTTATATGAATGCATCTGTAGTTATTGACTTATTACAGACGCGTGTTTACTGTTTAGACGCATGTTTTAAGATGCGTCTATAGCAATTTTATTTGGTCAGACGCCTGTTTCGAAGGTGCATTTGTACAATATTTTGGCGCGTGTTCGGTAGTTGGCCGCTGCTTTGCTCATCGCGCCGCGGCGGAGCCTCAGCTCCTGGTCTAGGCGGCTTGATGCTAGCTCCTCGGCTGGCAGCGAGAGAGGCTCAGAGGCTTAGCTCGTTAGCTCAGGATGGTGGAAGGCCGTGGTGCTCGCAGCAGGCACGCGCGCGGGGTCCTCTGAGGCGGGTGGCGGTCCTCTAAGGCAAGCGGCGGGTGTTGCTTGGGGCACACGAGGTGACGTGGGCCGACAAAAGCCGGGAGCGCAGGACATGACGAGCAGCACCTATAGACGCGATGCGCGCGCATATGCGGCCATGGCGGGTACGACGCAATGTGACACCGGCTGGCGTGAAGCATGCAGCGGCACCGGCGCCGGTGGCTGTGGGCAGCCAGGGGTGTGCTAAGGCCACCGACCACCCATTCCCCTTCACCTCTGCTCTGCTCTCGATCCATATCCATCCTTCTGGTGGCCGCGTACCGTCCGTCCACCGACGACATCCTCTTAAGGTTGATTGGTCCCCGACGTGAGCTCAGCTCAGGTAGTGACTAAATTCATTCCTAATAATAGAATCATAATTTTTTGTGTGAGCATGATCAACTCAACTACCAGATGGAATCCGTGTGCTTAATTCTATCTCGATCTCAGTAGGGTGCGCTCGTGCTTACTCGATCTCTGCCGTGCTTCACCATCGCCATAGCAGTGCTTCGCCGCCCAGCAGTGGCCAGAGGTGAGCTCTACAACTACTTGTGCAACTAATTAACTTGCATTCTAAACTTTGATGAGCTTGTGTCAAACTATGATGATGCAACATGCTACTAAATTGTGCCAAAATTATTGTGCTGTGACAATTTCTTGATATGATTGACTTATTATTCTTCTATTTTCAATTTTCTTTTGTAGACTATGGAGGATTGAAGCCACTGGATGTATCTTCGAAACCATACTTGTGATGACTATTTAGATGGTCTTAAATCTTTCTTAACTGCTGCACAGACGGATATGTTGAATGGACAGAAGTCATCTATGTGGTGTCCATGCGTTGACTGTAAGAATGAAAAGCAATACTCGAATTCGTTGACAGTCCATGCCCATCTAATAATGCGAGGATTCATGGATGACTATAGATGTTGGAACAAACATGGAGAAGAAGGTGTCAATGCCCCAGACCAGGCACAGGCTGCTGGTTAGCAGGATGGTGAGGAAGGCCTCCATAAAACTAATGCGGGTGGCGAGGAAGCACCCTTTGGCATTGAGGAACTATGTGATGATGATGTAGCAAATATTGCTGCCAACTACGATGTAGTCCATCTTGCTAAAAATCTAGAGGAGATGGTGCGTGATGCCTTCGACTTTGAGGAGTACACTGGTTTGGAGTTCAAGAAGATGGAACAACTGTTGAAATATATGAAGATGCCACTCTATCCGAGTAGCAATGAGAGGTATAAAAAGTTGTCCGCTTCATTAAAGCTTCTCCAATTGAAGGCAAAAAATCATTGGACTGACAAGGGCTTCAGAGAATTGCTAGAATTGCTTATGGATATGCTTCCCGAGGGGAATGAGATACCTAGGACTACATATGAGGCCGAGAAGATTGTTTGTCAATTGGGATTGAAGTTTGAGAAAATTCATGCTTGCAAGAATGACTACATCTGGTTCCATGGTGACTATGAAGCTGATATAGAATGCCCCAAGTGTGGAACCTCCCGTTACAAATGAAGAATTGATGATGGTGATGGCGATGAGGAGATGCACCGTAGAGTTCCTAAGAAGGTCGCATGGTACTTCCCTATAATTCCTCGCCTGAAACGGTTGTTTGCAACCTCTAGGGACGCACGATTGTTGACCTCGCACTCGAATGGGTGGACGGTTGATGATTATATACGCCACCCAACATATGGTATTCAGTGGCGGGTCATTGATTTTTAGCATAAATCGTTTTCTGACAAGCCAATGAATCTTTGGTTTGCATTGAGCACAGATGCATGAACCCATTTGGTAACATGAGTAGCTCACATAGTGTCTGGCCTATGCTATTAACTATCTACAACCTTCCATCCTGGTTGTACAACAAGTGGAGGTACATTATGATGTCAGTTTTGATCTCTGGTCCGTATCAACCAGGTGTTAACATCGACGTGTTTCTGAGGCCGCTTATTGATGATTTCCAAAAGCTTTGGAAAGAAGAGGGAAGTAGAGTGTCCGATGGTTTTAGGAAAGAGCATTTCAACTTACGTGCCATGCTGTTCACCACGATCACTGATATTCTAGGACATCGTTGCATGTCTGGGCAAAGCAAAGGAGAAAAAGACTGCTTTCCAGTGCTTAGATGACACTAAGACTATTTGGCTAAATAACTCAAAGAAGAGGGTTTACGTAAGGTACCAACGTTTCTTTCCTTTGTCTCATCCATACTGGGAAATGAAACATTAGTTTGATGGCACAAGGGATACAGGATCTGCCCCAAGGAATTTTAGCGAGAAACAGGTCTATGACCAGGTCCTAAAGGATACCACACCTATACATGAACCAGAGAGCACTGTCCTTGGAAAGCGAAAGTGCAATGCAAAAGCAAATAGTTCCAATAAGAAGAGGTGGAAGAAAATGTCAATCCTATGGGAGCTACCTTACTGGAAACACCTAGTAGTCTGCCACAGCATCGATCTCATGCACGTGAAAAAAAATATATGTGGGAGTTTGCTTGGGACACTCATGAATGACAAGTGGAAAACCAAGGACATGCTAAAGTAAGAGCTGACCTAGAGGAACTGGACATAAGGCTTGAGCTCCGTCCTGACAGTACCAATGCCCAGCCACCTCTATCTGCCATAAACCTAACCCGACAAGAGAAGCAAGAATTGTGCGACTTCTTTCGTAGTGTCAAAGTCCCCTCTAGATATGCAACCAACATCCGAAAGCTTGTGCCTCCAAGAGAAAAAAATGCTTCCCATGAAGGCTCATGATTGCGATGTCATGCTCACAACAATGCTTGAGGTTGGTATCTGGAATATATTGCCAGAAAAACCCCGAATGGCAATCATGAGTCTATGCTTCTTCTTTAATGCAATCTCTCAGAAGGTCATTGATGAACGAACATTGGACGATCTTGAAAAGAACATGTGTGAGATGATGTGTCTCCTTGAGGCTTACTTCCCACTGACTTTCTTTGACATATCCATCCATCTCATTGTACATTTGGTTAAGGAGATCAGGTATCTTGGACCGATGTTCCTCCACCACATGTATCCGTATGAGAGATTTATGAGTACTATGATAGGTATGCCAAGAGCCAGGCTCATCCTAAGGAAAGCATGGCACAATGCTATTCTACTAAGGAGGTGGTCGACTGGTGCCTCAGTTACATTGACCCCACTAATCCAATCAGCATCTCCAAGTCTTGCCATGAGGGAAGACTAATGGGGAGAGGGTGTCTTGGGGAGAAGCAAATTACTCTAGATGTAGATGCCTTCGAACGAGCCCACTTTCTAGTGTTGCATCACACAGCAGAGGTGGAGCCTTACATCGAAGAGCTTAAGGAGATGTTGAGGCAACAAAATCCGGATTGGGGCGAAGCTTGGTTAGCAAGGGCACATATGAGTGGGTTCAGCATCTGGTTTAAAGATCAACTTCGCAGTTCGAGCTCTTGCACAGACCAAAGGCTTTGACGGCTGGCAATAGGCCCTTTCTTCATAGTTACAACTTATCAAGGCTATGACATAAATGGCTACACCTTTTAAACCATTGATCAAGACAAGAAAAATGTGTACTAGAACTCTGCTATTCATGTAGATGCATTTGACAACAATATGCAGAAGACAGCGTACTATGGTCAGATTGATGAGATATGGGAACTCTCGTATCTAGGCTTCAAGGTGCCCATTTTTCGGTGTAGATGGGTTCAGGGAAGACAGGGTGTCATGAAAGACAAGTATGGCTTCACTACCATTGACATTGAAAAAGTTGGGTACAGGGAAGAGCCATTTGTAGTCACAAGTCCGGTTTCCCAAGTCTTCTACGTGCGTGACACTAGAAACAAGAAACAACAAGTGGTTCTCCCTAGGAAAAAGCGGGTTGTCAGAGTTGAAAATCTAGTGGAAGAGTTCGAGTACAATCAATCCAATGAAGTCCCTCTTTTTGATACTTCTATCCTCCCTGTGATTTTGGCAAGCGAGCTAACTCCATACCCAAGAGATGGCCATAAAGAGGATGTCCTCATGGCGAAAAGATGCAAAAAAAAATGAGTGCCCAAAAATTGATGATCTTGTGAGTGATTTCAAGAGACTTCATTGATCTGGTATGAGAACTCATTAGTATTCAATAGCATGCTACTACCTATAGTTTTGCATAGCAAGTTGCTGAACTTATCTTTTATGTAGGATATGAGCTGGAGGTCAGAGAGATAGGAGGCAGATCTAAAATGTCAATTCTAAGACATAGGTGCTTTTTGGTGTAAAATTTGAAAACTGTTTTTGCTTGTAATGATATGCCCACAACCCCTTGTAATGTGTATGGTACCTTGTGGATGTATGCTGAAATTTGCTACTTCATTTCCTTTTAGATGAAATAGGAGGGTCACCCACTGATTTTATTGATATTTTTAAAAAATAAAGTACAGCTTGGTACAAAAGAATCAAGATACAAAGGAGATGAAGAAAATAAGCAAAATTATACAAATGCTTTCGCACAAACATAGCCAAGCTTTTTTTTATCTTCCTTTCCACGCATTGAGGCTGATTTTTCCATTATCAAAAATGGCATCATTTCTGGTCAGCCAGATGACCCAGTAGGCAGTGATAAAATCTCACTAAAAATACTGCTCCCAAAAGCTTCTCTAGCTTCTATAACCATATCTAATGGCTACAAGTTCAGGTTCCAATTAATTGAGATCAAGTTCCAACAATTAAGTTTGACTGAAAGAACACTCGGCTTGTTTCTTCATGTCTGCTATGGCATAGATCACAGCTTATAATCATCAAGATGCATGTTCTTTCTTCTCAGTAGATTCCTAGTGTTTAGTCTGTCCTTGAGCAGTAACCAAAAGAAAAATTTGTGTGTGCCCAAATTGCTGGAGGCCCAGAGCCAAATAAATAGAGGAGAGCAGTATGGCCAATAAGAATCTGATATGCCTTTTTGCTACTGAATTTCCATGATCCCCAAAAGTAACTCCAATGATCATTTTGATTTTCATCATGGTTTGCTTCTAGTATTTGATCCTCAAGTTGAACTAGTTGATCAGCTAGTTGTGACAGTGGTAGACTAAATAATCCGCTGTGGATATAGATCCTTGAAAGCCTGATTTTGGTTGTGACAAGTCCATTTGTCTATCCAAAAGAGGGTGGTGTCACCTCTATTTGGGTTACAGGATGCTAGAGACTAAAAGTTACTAAACAAACTGATGACCTCTTGAAAATCGACAGACATCTCTGCAAGGTTGGATATCTCTGAAAATTTGATCATTTCTAATAGACCAGCACATTGTGAGAATAATCTCCATGAAAAAGGGAAACTGAAGTTGGGCTCTGAGAATAATACAACCTAGACTAGCCTAGCAGTCAATGGCAAAGAGACAGGCCAAAAACAAATGATATGTAATAATCGACAATCGACAAACCAGCAACAATAGATATGTAATAATAATATATACATGAATAACCAGCAAAGTTGTCCATACATCACTGCAGATAGATGATACTTGTTGTCCACATAGTACACAGTACATATATAGCTAACATAAGGTGTTCATACATATGTATCACCATACATAGTTAATAACATATATATCAGTTCATCACACTGCTAGGGGTCATCACCTTATCAGTAGTTGTCAGCCATGATCACAGCTTGGGCTTCGGAGGCATGGCGTCCTCGAACTTCTTGAGGAGGTCCTCCACCTTCAGAGCCACGACATTCAGCAAGGGAGCAAATGCGGCCATCACCTCATCGAACTTGTCCTGCCTCTTAGCCAGCTTGTTAGCCACTGCTTTGATGTCGTCAAGAGTCCAATGAATTGCATCTAGCTTTTGGTGGACGGGTTTCAGAACCACGTTCAGGGCCTCCTCCATGGTCCTTGTAGGGACCTCAAAAGATCGAGCCTACAATCAGCAGACAATCAGCAGTTGAGGGAATGGATAAATAAGATTGCCATAATGTACACATTTCATTCTGCTGAAATTGACACTTTAGTAATCTAA